TAAAAATTGAATGCACAAAGTAAAATGTGAGGAGAGCAATGAATGTCTTATTTGTTTAATTCTAAGAAAATAATTGCGCTCTCCCTCTTTTTGATTCAACACGCAACGCAATTTTGTCCAATTTTGACAAAGATACATGTATTCTGTTCGTGAGCATAACAATATCAATATGTGCGTATATATCTAAAATTGGAAAAACAGAGAAAAAAGGAGAAAGCATATAAATAAAGTAAATGTTGTAAGTGAGGATGGAATATTGGTGAATTCAGAATCCACTTATCACCAATATCTACAATGATTGCACTTCCAAGATTTCCCACAACTCCAGCTGAATATCAAGAAATCATAAAATACTTGCAAATCAACACCATTTCGAATACCATTGCAAACAAGTACACTTTTGTTCGCAAATGTAAAAAATTCTCTGTGGATCAAAATGGAGTTTTATTTTTGCTACCATCCGAAAAAGATAAAGAAGGTCGCCAACCTCAACGCATAATACCAGCCTATGACAAACAACTTCGAAATATCTTAATAGAGGCATTTCATGATCAGCGCAATTACAGAGATTATCATAAAACGTATGATGCTCTTTCTGAAAAACATGTCAGAATTACCCAAGATGAAGTTCAAGAGTATGTTAGCAAGTGCTCCGCGTGTGCTGTAAATAAATCAATCAAAGAGAAGACTGACCTCATGCCAGTTGTCGCCACAAGTCCATGGAGTCATGTGCAAATTGATCTTATTGATCTGCGTGACTACAAAGACCAAAACAAAGATTTTGCCTGGTTACTCACCTGTATTTGCATCTTTTCGAAATTTCTCTTTGCAGTTCCTCTCCAGAACAAGGAAGCTGGTACTGTAGCCGAAGCTCTCATTAAACATGTCTTCAAGGTACCTGGACCACCAGCGCTTCTACAAAGTGATAATGGAAAGGAGTTCACTAATCAAGTACTGTCACATATCTGTTCAATCCTCAAAGTAAATATAAAGAATGGCCGTCTGAGACATCCGCAATCCCAAGGTGCAATCGAGAGACTAAATCAAACTGTTGGACGTGAATTTACGAAGATGCTTTGAAACAGTGAAAACCATTTACAGCACATTAATTGGATAGATTTTTTTGATAATTTCATCTTAACGTATAATAGCACCGTTCACAAAGCCCATAATCATACCCCACATGAAGTCCTTTTTGGCTGGAAAATGCACAGCGTTTACGATACTTCTATAATGGATCCTGTTGAAGAAGATGTTGATGTGATCACACCGAGTGGAGATCAAGTTGGTGACGATATGCTAATGAAGCAAGTGAAATCAAGGATGGCGAAGGTATCTATAGTCAATGATGAAATTAATGAAAAGTTAGAACAGTATCGTCAAAAAATGTGCAGAAACAGTAGCGTGCATAGAAAAAAAACTGCAATAAACACCTTGGAGAAAGGAACAGCTGTTATTGTTGCTCTGGATCATGATAATAATATATTGACAAGAAAAAGAAAACTTCAATTCACCTTTTCTCAGACTGGCGTCCTTAAAAGAGTAACAGCGAATAACAAAACCGCCATAGTTACAATTGATGGTGTCGACACACCTGTTCCTGTAAATAGAATGCAAGTTATTCATAAATCAGCTATAGCAAACCAGAAGTAAATTTTTCTATTATAGAACACTGTTATCATAGTAACAATAAATTTTTTAATTTCATAATTTCTTTTAATTTTTACATGAATATCTTATCTATAATTATTTTATTATACTTATTACATAATTTGTACTTTTATTTATATTACAAATGTTAGAAACATTTTAATTTATACCAAATGTTAGAAACATTTTAATTTACACCAAATGTTAGAAACATTTTAAT